CTCCTTTGCTTCCAGATAATTTATTTGACTGTCTCCTCCTGTGTCAGTTAAAAATATAAATATTATTCTGAAATATAAAAATATAGTAGCTATAAGAATAACAACTTTTTAACAAAGAAATTGTAGTTAAATAACCAGTACTCTGTATTATGAGAAGTATAAATATGTAGCTTATGGCTGTTGGTTATGTCACATAAGAAGGCAATGATTCTATCACAAAAATGATTATTATCATTTTTCTTCCCATCAGTCTTGAGGCCAAATGCCCCAAAGCGAGTCCTATCAACTGTATTTGATTCAACAGAGACAGTATCCGTAAAGGACTTATATTTATACTGCTCCTTCAAATGTATCTAGAGGAACACAGACAGAATTAGGTTGATAAATATTTCAAAGAGCTATTATCTTGCAGTTCTAAGAGTTTCTTATTGGCAGTGTCAGCGGCTTTAAGGAGGTATTCTGCATAATAAATGTGCAAATACAGATATAGAAAGGGCTTTGAAGGACAATGATCTTTAATTTAATAGATGGGTTCTAGGAAAGGTAGTGAGAAGTTCACCAGGGATTCCAACTCTTTACCAACTCTGAGTCAAAATGTTACAGTGTAAATTAATCAGAATATTGTGAGAAGAGGTCCAAAGATAGAAACACCTGAAACTTCAATTTTTGAATCCATTTGCACAAATCACACACCAGGACTCATCTAACCCTGATATGTGCACAAGGTAATACCCACCCTGTGTCCTTACACAGGAGATGGGTCACCAGCACTTCATTACAGTTGTCTTACTTTTCACTCATCACTGAGACAAATATTTAATATCAAAAGTTAAAGGATGGGCCAGGGATTTAGCTCAGTGGTTTCACTGCCTGCTTCTCCAGCGCAAATGCAAGGACCCGAATTCGATCCCTGGTACCAAAAAAAAAAAAAAAAGTTAAAGGAGGAAAGGTTTGTTTAGCTCACAGTTTGTAGAGGTTTCAGTCTGTAATCAGCTGGCTTCAAGGCAGGGTAGAGTGGCAGAGGGGCATGGCAGAGGAGAAACAGTTCATAGCAGGCAGAAAATCAAAACCAACAACGGGCAACCACAGCTCTTTCTATCTCATATCTTATCCAGGCTACTCAGGTTGGGTAGCACTCACATCCTTAATCCTAGTGCCCTTGATCCTAGCACTGCACCATGAATCAATCCCAGTGTAAGATCCAGCCACCTCTGGAAAAGCCCCACCTATGACCACATGAGGCTTTGGGAGAACATTGAGACACAAGCCATAACAACAGTGATATAATTTTTATAGCTGGATGATCACCCTAATAGAACTTCTTACATTGACCCTGAAAGATGTTAGGCAGGGTAAGAAGTAGCATGATGAAAGAAAATAAATATAATACATATGTTATTTGCATATTTCACTTCCCTGGGTGATAAGGTGTCTCACATACTGAAATTTTATTTCCTCTTATTTCTTTATCAATTAACTTTATTTGATCAACCATCAATTCAAATAAATCTATGAAATTCTCTGTGAAAAATCTTAGACTTTAGCAATGCATGATGACTTGAACAATGGCCATCTGTTGAGGATGAATGGAGACATTTCAGGCTGGCACCTGACTTTGTAAGTAGAAATGCTGCTCAGGGCCAGAGATTTAGCTCAATGGTGTCACACCTGCCTCACAAGCACAGAGTCCTGAGTTCCATCCTAGATACAAAAAAAATCAAAAACAAAAGAAATACTGCTTCATAACTAACTATGCAGTCTATATTTCTCAAGCACTAGGTGTTTCTCAACAGGATGAGTTCCCCAAGGGGGAAATGTTTTGGGGCAATGTGATAGCTAATTACAATTTAAATATATATGTATACTATGAATACTTTCAGCATTAAATATTAGTGGTCATTCTTAGTAGTAACTGGGAGAAATATGTTTAATAATCAGTTAGTATTATTATTGTAAGTATATTATATTACTCAGACTAGATGTACATGAGAGAACCTTATATCTATTTGCCTACCTAGCTAGATACCTGAAAAATAAGTTTTTCTTAAACATTGACTGTAGACATTAAAACTTAAAAAATACAAATAATCCACTTTAAAACAGGTTAGATGATCTTATACATTTCTTAGATGTAGACAAAGAGCTAACAAGTTTATGCAAAACGCCCAATATAGGTAATCATCAGGGAAACACAAATCAAAATCCTAAGGAGATATTCTCTCACCCCAACTAAACAGCTATTGTCAGAAAGGAAAAGAATAAGAAGGGCTGGAAAGGATGCACAGAAGAGAGAACCCACAAACATGATTGGTAGCAATGTGACTGAGGCGGCACTATGGGAAACGGTATGTATGTTCCACAAAATCTCGAATAGTTCTAAATCTTAGGATATATTCAGAGGAAATTAAATCATTGTATCAAAGAGATGCCTACACTCCCATGCTTATTGCCACACTATTCATAAAAGCCAAGATACAGAACTAGCTAAGTGTGCAAAACTTAGACAAGTAGATAAACGAAATTATTTATGCATACACAGTGGAATGTTATTCACCCATGAAAAGGAAATGCTGATATTTCTGATAATATTGTTGAACTTAGATTACATTAAGCTAAATAAAATGTCATACACTAAAAGTCAAATATCACTGATAAACTTCTTTGCTAGATAAAATGGCCCCTTAGTACAGGAAATGAGTCACTCCAGAGAGAACAAAGACCTGCTTTTTCCTGCCTCACCCCCAGTCATAGCCAATCCTCTGCCTTCACCACACTCCTCCAGCCCTTATAAACCTCACCCAGACAACCCCTGGTTGCTGCTCTCACCTTTGTTCCAGACAGTCCGGCAGCTCTGTTCCTTAATAAAATTCCTGCTTTGGGTATTCATGTTTCAGCTCATTTTGTTTCTCTCATTGTTAGTGCCGTACGCCTGGGAAGAACGTGATCGGGATTTTGAGATGATCACCCCACTGGCCGGGGTTGATTGGCCTCCCAACTGTCCTTCTCTCAGACCCTGTCAAGTCAACACCCAACCAGGGGCCTTCACTCCTGCCATTGTTGACGTTTAACATCCACACAGGCGGCCTTCAATTCCTGGGTGAGTACTCAGATTAGCCTCTCTCTGTTCCTCTGCCTCTCGGTGGGTGTTCTCGCTCAAAAAATCTTAGCGCTAAGTCAGAGGGACTCTTCTTGGCCTGTGGCCACATCTGCTGTCCCTGGGGGAAGCCCCATAGGCTCAGATCCTAGAAATTGTCAAAGGGAACAAGGATGCTCCTCCCTCTTGCCCTTCTCGGGAGCTTTTCTGATATTCAGCTTACATATCTGGCCTCCCTTTATTATGGGAACTGCTCAATCCAAATCCCCATGATCAACCCTTATGGGATGCTTATTGGCTAACTTAAAAACTCTCAGGCTTGCTGAGGACTTCAACCCTAAAAGCCTTCTTTCCTATTGCAACCAAGCGTGGCCTCTATATGGATTAGATAATGGATTCCAATGGCCAGAAAATGGAACATCTGACCCGAATGTTCTTCGGGACCTCCGCCATTTCTGTTACTGCAATGGCAAATGGTCTCAAGTCCCCTATGTGCAGGCTTTCCTCTACCTCCACACGCACCCTTCTCTTTGTCACTCCTGCTCCACCCCTCAAATTCTCCTTGCTCACGTGGTTTCACCCCCACTTCCAATCTCAGCTCAGAACCAGATAGGACTTTGTCCCAACCGACCATACCCCCTCGATCCACCTCCACCCTACAACCCTTCTGCCTCATTGCCCTTGGCACCCTCAGCAGCCCCCTCCAGCTCTCCCACCCCACACTGCTCACACTCACAGCAGCCAAAACCGCCCACACCTCCCATTTCCCCTCCTCACACTCACACCCGATATCCCACCCATTCGCCCCTCTGGGAACACACCGTCTGGTGGGAACAGAAGGTATTATCAGAGTCCACGTCTCTTTCTCAAATTGAAAAGTGTCTTGGCTCTTTTTCCTCTGACCCTGACTGCACATCAAAGAATTTTGTCACTTGACTCTGTCCTATGATCTGACTTGACACAATGTCTATATGATACTGACTTCTATCCCCCCGCCCCGCCCCGAGGACAAGGAAAGAGTTTGGTTGGTGGTCCAGACCACAGCTGATAAATTCCATGCTGCTGCTAACACCAAGCCAGTGGGAGCACAGGCCGTCCCCTGAGAAGATCCACAATGGGACTGTCAGCTAGGGCAGACACATAGAGGCTGCAGAGACCATATAGCTCTCTGCCTCATAGAAGGTTTAAAAAAGACAGCTCACAAGTCTATTAACTTTGATAAGATTAGAAAAATAACTCAGACCCATGAAGAAAACCCGGCACAGTTTCTGTAGTGCCTCACTGAGGCCCTTCAGAAATACACCAAAATTGATCCTACCTCCCAGGCTGACATGATCATCATTAACACTCACTTTATCTCTCAGTCAGCCCCTGATATTAAGAAAAAGCTAAAAAAAGTCAAAGAGGGTCAAGCAGGACTTACACTCAAATTAAAAAATAAATAAAATGAAAAATAAATGATGGATTAGAAACAGCTAGAAAAGCTCTGAAACGCATAAAACAAAATAGTAAGAAAAAACACTTCTGGCTTTAAGAGCCAAGTACAGTGCTATATTATCCCAAAACAAAGCCAGAGAAACTACAACTGTGCTCTACCAGACATCAAGAGATTTTAAAAGAAAAATCAAGTTACAAATTTTAGCTAAGTTGATAAATGTATTTGTTTCAATTTGAGTTGATGTTTAATTAGTGTGCTTAAAACATTTCTTGTGCATTGTAAATTCTTGAATTGTAATTATAGGGTTAACTTGTTCTTTTCTGTACTTTGTTGATGAAGAACTCAAGGTTACTACTGTTCTATTGGCATCTAGTCAAAGTTTAAAATGTAACAATTTGAGAGCAGAAAAAAGAAGGGACACTAATTAAAATTTTAACAGCTGAAGACAAGTTTGTTATAGAAGGTTTATAGTAAGTGGGAAAAATATTTTTAAAAGCTATAAGTACAAGAGGTATACTTTTGATATGAAAGGATTTTTTTATGTTTTTCTTGTTAGAAGGATACAGAGACAAGACCAAAAGGCCTAGGTATGTTGAGAAGGTGAGCAGAAGTGATTTATCAAGGAAATATGTATGTTTGGTTGTTGTTTTCAAGTTTAATATAAAAGGTTTACATTTACAAGCATAAAGAACTTTCATTCCTTCTGATTCTAATTCTACAAGAGATCTCTGTTAATTGACTGATAAAAAGTTTTGAATAGTCTCATTTATAATTGTAAACCTAAAAATTATAAAGAGATATTATAATTCAATTGGGCTAAACATACTTGAGTGTACTCTAGTTTTATAAACTATCTTATGTTTGTTTGTTTGTCCAATTATACAGCTGTTTTTTTTTTATAGATAAAGGTTATTAAGTTCAAGGCATGCTCCTCTTGGTGAACAAAGGATTGACCGAATGGAAATATTTTGCAGTCTGTGTTCACCAGGGGGACCTCAACAGTTTTCATAGTATTACAATAGACTGACCCAATAGTTTTTATAACCTTATAAAAGACTTACATCAATAAATACTACTTAAATATGTTATTATACTATGTTTATATTAGTTGTCATCAAAGAGATAAATTCTAAATACGTTGTTATAATATGTTTACATTGGTCATTTTCAAAAGATTAAATTGCCTGTAAAAAACCCAAACAAACAAAAAGAACAATAACAAGGTTTTATTAAAAAGATGCTTTTGTACCAAACTGAATTAAAGGGCATAAGGTCTCATACATGTAGTTATGATAATTATATTGTTAATTTTCTGGTGTACTAAATGTATTTATGCTTTCTGACTGTACAGGTTTTCTAATATGTTGTTTATGATAATAAACTCTTTTTGATTCAGGTATTTGCCTTTTTCATACACTCCAGCTATTTATAATAACAGGTACAATTATGAGCTGAGAAATTTTTTAAGATGCTAGCCTATCAAAGATAACAATTGAGATAAAAATTTTTGGTGTTTTTTTGAAAAAATGAGTATGTTTAACAATAGCTATTTTATGCCAAGATGGACATTTAAATGTGCTACAAAGATAAGATCAACATGCTTGTCATGTTAAAATACTATTTATGGCTCTTGATTTAAAGCTCTTTTTTCTCTGTTAACATTTTACAGAAATTCAACTACTAGAACAATCATGATTGATAATAATAATAGTCTTCTAACTATATTTTATATTTTAAAGTGCTTGATGTCCATATAAGATTATAATAGTTAAGTTCAGTACTCTTATTGCAGACCTAATGTCATGATCTTCTCTTCTGAGTGTTCAACAACTAAAGTTTGGAGACCAAACTGAAAAGATAACTGGCTATGAGGACAGCCAATATTTTGGCTCTGGGCGTTCAAGGTCAACAAAGATCCAAGACATAAGGGAACCTTCTCTACAGGATCCTACATCTTTGGTAAGTCACTCAACCTCCTAAGCAGGGAGATTGCTGGACACCAAAGGACAAATGTACCATGTGTCAAAGGAGAGTCACCAAAAACAAAAAAATCTCTACATGGTCAAGTAAGGCTGTGACCCATCCTGACGGCTGACCCTGACAGAAGAGCAGAGAGGCTTTACACATGGTTCCAAAATAATGGCCTGAGGAGACTTAACTGACCTTGATAGATAACAAGAGGTTCATACTAATTGACACAGGTCTCACTTTAACTTAGTCTTAAACACCCAGCAGAAACAAACAAACAAACAAACAAACAAACACAAAACCCAAAAGAGGTATAAAATAATGACATAGTAATAAAGCTAGATACAAATATTGGGCTCCAATCACTGACCCCTCTGGCAGTTTCCAGCTACACCAGTAACTGACCATAGTTATAGATCATTAAAAACTATGGTAAAATGTATAAGAGCTCAGCTAGAGTTTTAAATTGTCTCTTCTTACAGCTAAAACTAGAGAGACTTATGACAAAGTATCAGACTTATAGATAACCTTTATCAGTGAAAAAGTCTAAGAGCCAACAGGTTATAATCACTCACTATTTCAGTATCGAAGTGTGACTTTTTCCCCGATCTACCCTTCCATTCTAGTGTGCTCATGTTTAGATTTTTTCATGCTCTAATTTTTAAAAAAATCTTGTTTATTCTTGCCTATAGGCTGCCAAATTCAAAGTGATCATACAGATAATATCAACAACAAATGTGCTAGACATTTTTTTTTAATCAATATCCACCATCTTAACCAGCATGCCCTTCCTGTACTCCGTTTCCTAACGGGAGCCAGAGTTCTGGCAGGAATAGGCACAGGGGTTACAAGAATCTCAACATCAACACACTTCTATTACTCCCTATCCCAAGAGCTAAATGAGGATATAAAAGGTAGCTGACTCTCTGTTCACCCTGCAGTCCCATATCAATTCTCTGGAAGCTGTGGTATTCCAAAATAGATGAGCTCTAGATATAATAACATCAGAAAGAGGGGGAACATGCCTCCTTCTGAGGGAAGAGTGCTGCTATTTTGTCAATCAGCCTGGCATTGTTGGAGACAAGGTGAAGGAGCTCAGGGAGCATACAGAAAAATGTAGACAAGACCTAGACTGGCTATGCTCTCTACCAGGATACTTCAACCAATGGCTCCCCTGGCTCCTTTCTTTCCTGGGACCCCTCACTTTTCTCTGCATAATCCTACTCTTTAGACCTTGCCTGTTTCTTTGTTTTCAAAATTTCTTGCAGGAGTGGTTCCTGACCATTACCAATCAGACAATCAGCAAACTCATTATCACAGGTTATCAACCTTTCCCCATGGGAGACCACACCACCATCATGTAGGACCCAGGCCTGTTACCCTTTATCACTGCCCCTGTGCCAGAAGGAAGCAGCTACAGAAAAGAGACCTCTGCCCCTATTCCATAATAATATCAACAGTCTGGAATGATAAAGTTTTCTGCTAGATAAAATGGCCCCTGCCTACAGGAAACGAGTCACTCCAGAGAGAACAAAGACCTGCTTTTTCCCACCTCGCCCCCAGTCACAGCCAATCATCTGCCTCCACCACACTCCCTCAGCCCTTATTAAACCTCACCCAGCCAGCCCCTGGTTGCTGCTCTCACCATTTTTCAAGACAGCCAAGGCAGCTCTGTTCCTTAATAAAAGCCCTGCTTTGGGTGTTCATGTTTTGGCTCATTTTATTTCTCTCAATCACATGTCCAGACTAATTTGTGGAGAACAAAAGTTCAATGTCAGGAAAAGAGTGGAATGATGATCACTAGATCAGTAGAGATTAGATAAAGTGAGGGAAGGTGGATGGAGAAAGGCTAGATAATGGGTATCGAAACACACTTCCCAGGAGGAATCAATTTTGATGTTCTATTGCACCGTAGGATGACTATGGTTGGTAGCAATTTGTCATGTGTGTTATGATATAGACCAAGGACGTCAGCTGTTGGAAGGTAATTTAATTGTGAGAGCGCTGGCGCTGACCTGGTGTCAGGCAGGTGGCCTGGTGAGAGGCAGTCACTGCGGTGTGACCTGGAAAGATGTACCTCTCTCCTCAGCTCCTCCCTTCTCTCTCTGCTTCCCAACCATGGTGAGGGGAGCAGCTTCCCCCGCCCCCCGCCCCACCTAACCTGTTCACATGCTGCTCCTGTCTTGGAGCTGATGGACCACACTGCAACAGGAGCCAAAACAGTCCTCTCCTCCTTTAAGTTGGTGGTGTCAGATATTGCATCTTGGTGATGAGAAAGTGACTGAGACAACATACTTTAAAGTAATAATCAAATCTGATGTTTTCCAACAAATATAAAAGATAACTTTTAAGGAGGTAGAAATGCTGACTATATTGTGATGATCAATGGATTATTTTATAGGAGTATAAAACTACCATTCTATATCTCAGGTTATGCTTTAGATGTAAAGCATGTGCACAAAGTCTCATGTGTTCGAAGGCAGGGCTTTAACAAGGCCACTGTATCAGGAGGGCTGTAACTTCATCCACTGACTAGTCCATTTTGTGAGGCAAAGCTTGTAATGGCGAGTTCCCTTCAGGATTGCATCTGGCCCCTGGCTCTTCTCTCTGTCCCTGTGTCCCTCTCTCTTCACTTCCTGGCTACCTTAGAGCAATAGCTTTCCTCTGCCTTCTCCCCATGATGCTTCTACCTCACCATAGACCCCAAAGCAACGAAGCCAGGCAGCTCTGAACCATAACATTTGAAACTGTAAACCAAAGTAAACCTCTCCTCTTCTAGGTTGCATAGTGTATGTATTTTGTCACAGCATCAGAAAACTGACCAGCACACCCTGGAAGTATGAGATATGTAAGTGTAGTGGTATAAGTAAATTAAAAAGCATGCAACAAAAGACCCAAACATGGTAAATTGACTCAGAATCTTAACTACTGATTATAGGAAAAATGTTATCCTTCATATTAGAAATTGGAGTTGAATGTGAATGTCTATGTTAAACATGTATAAGCGTTACATTTTGATGAAGAAATCTAATCAGAAACATATTACCTAGTCAAATAAATGACACTAATCTGGTGGGAAAAAAAGGTCCTTACCTTATTGCTAATCAGTTACTTTAGGAGAAATGTGTTTGTCTCCAAGTTTAAGGTTATGAAGAACATAGTTTATACATGGACTAAGCACATAAAACATTGTTTCTGGTTGAGGCAGGGGAAGAATTGGATACTTCACTGTCCCAGGCCCTCATCTACCCACCAACATTTCCAACTACTGTGACAGAGTCCTTTCGGCAGGAGGGCAGTCTGGGATACCAAGAAGCATATGGACTTTGATGCTTGTGGAATAATTGCAAATATAACACAATCATACTTTAATACTATGTGACCCAGACATGTACATAATGTACAAACATCCTTGTTTGTACAAGAGAGGATTAGTAATGATGCAGCAAAAGATTTTGGCACATGGCAAAAACAGTACTACTGATTATGATAATAATGAAGATGATGATGATGATGATGGCAAGCCTGTGGAGCATACTTCCCATGGCACTGTGGGGTTGGAGGGAGAGACCCCCCTGTTCAGGTGAGAAGCCTGGTTTTTGTATGAATTCCTAGGACCTCTACCAGAAAATTCCTTCACTTCTATGGCTTTCATGATCTTTTTTCTATAAATTGTAGCCAGTCACCTAAAATAGTGTCTGGCATATATATAAGCACTTTGAAATTTGCTATTGCTATTATTATTACCCAGGTATAATTATTATTACCTTAGTTTTGAAATGAGTAATAAATTAATTCATATATAAGGTACTTAAAATAATGTATTAGTTGATTACATTGTGTAATCTAATGTATGCCTGAAATAGTTAAATGCTTTTATCGATCATACTTCACATTATATATAAGGAAAGTGATAACTTTTAATATAATATCAAAGTCTGAACTTGCATCACTCTTATATGAGAGTTTCTTCCAAGTTCCAAGTCAGTAGTTACTGAGGGTTATCTTTCTTCCAACTTAGTAACATTTAACTGTTCTGTATTTTTAAATTAAGGAGTGGTACACCTTCAGCCATTGGAAAGGAAGAAATCTCATTGCTTGAGACTCCATGATTAGAACTGGAGATCATCATGTTGAAGGAAATAAGGCAGGCTCAGAAGGACAAGTATTGCACCATCATATTCATATGTGGAATCTGAAAAAAGTGTTGATCTTATAGAAGTTGAGCGTGGGATGGTGACCAGATGTTGGTTTGATAAACGGATACTAAGAGTTAGATAGTTCTGCCATGCAATTTTGCAGTAAGCTGACTATAAATAATGATAAATACTGATAATTTCAGAAAGTTACAAAAATTTTTGAAACTTTTGTCTATTCTGAAAAGATAAATATTTGAGAAGATAGATATGTTTAAACTTGACTTTAATTCTACACATGTATTGAAATATCATGGTACTCCATTAATATGTGCAATTTTTACATTTTTATGTTTCAGCTTAAAAATAAATGTGATTCAAATTTAAAAGAATGGAGTAGCGCATGAGTGTATTAGTGAAAGACCATGTTTAATTGTTGTGACAAGTTAGAAATTTGTTCTCCTAACAAGAAATGACTCTAATTGTATTTGCAAACAAGTAGGAAATTTTTGTGGAGGAAAAAGTTTATGCAGATTCTGTAAAACAAGGAATAATTCATGCATGGCATAATTTATTCCATCAAAATTCAGCTTCACTTATGCTTCTCTAAGGACATTTGTAAGTATTCCAGTGTATCTCAAATCTTGCATATATACATTTGCTAATATTTTAAAGTTGACTCATGCTAATATTTATAACTTGTGTTTTTTCCTCCAGTTCACAACCTCTCCCTGTTAGGCTATTCCATTTTCTACAACGTTAGGAATCCAGGATTTTAAACAAAAGACCAATCTTCTACCAAAGTGTTATATCTACCACAGTGTAATTTCTGTGTAACTGTCAAAACTTTCTTCCCTGAGTTGAAATCCTTAACAAAACTGCTTTATAGTTTTGCAGTCCACAAAGATAGCCACCCACATGGCATTGATATAAAGGTCAGTCATAGGCCTCTGTACACCATTTTGTTTATTTTTATTACTTGAGTCTCAGACCAAAGCTGTTTGTATCCCAGAGATGCAAAAGAACTGTTCAGTTCATCTTGATAGGCACATCTCTATTCCTAAGGCTCAAGCTCAAGTGGTTGCAGGAGGTTAAGGAAACTGACCTGTAGATATACTCCACTCAGTGGAGGACGTGGTTGTTTAACCATGTTACTTAAACTATGTAACTAGTTTTAAGAAATTCCCACCAGAGTACCAAACAGGGATAGTCATGATTGAATCCCAGCCATGGAAAATTCTTTGGCTAAAAGTAATCATTATTTTGACTGTTTATTCCTATTTGAGGACTAGGAATATATCAATTTTGACACTGAAAACATTATTTAACCATCATGCATGAAACTCAGTGCAGTAATAGATAATCCATACATTACTCCAACATGTACAAATTCTGTAGTAGTTCAGAGTATCTGATGTCATATTCCCTGCAATTGAATCATAGATGTGCCCTGTCAAAAAGTCACTTAACCTTCTGCACCTCAGTTTCTTCATCCTTTAAATGGGGTTGACATTACAAACATAGTTCACAGAAGCCTTTTCTAAAAAGACTCAGTGCAGGTAAGTAGTAAATAATCCCTATTTACTATGATGACTTTTGTTATATCATTAACAGATCACTTTTCTTTTAAAACCATCATAAATGTTTAAAGTGATTTGTCATTTTTACTTGTTCTTGTCTTACATGAGTGATGGTCAATAGTCAAAGGTATAAATCTAAACACTAGTAAATTGTGGCACATAATACATAAATAAATCTTTTTGATATATCAAAAGAAGGATGAAGACATGTTAAACCACAATGAAATCTATACTCAAGTTGGATATGTTAGAAAGGAGCAAATATTTAATGATCAAATTTTGTCACAATACAAATCATTTGTTTACAAAGTCTCTCTTTATATCATTTTATAATAGAATTATGTACAAGGAATGGATATATTGTTTGTTTTTATTTTATTTACTCTTTCTATATTAACAGAACTTTTCAATCTATTATTATAAGAAATCAGAAAAAATATATTTTAAGTTAAATTGAGTATATTTGAACTAAAAACCCTTTCATAGTAGATTACTTAATTTTTATAAATGCAGGTAGAGAAAGAAATCAACTTGTCATAATTAAAATTTCATACAAATAGGAAAAGCTATTTAAACATTAAATTTGCATTTTACATCAAATATGGTAATATAAGCCGGACCTGTTCACTTAAGAGACTTACAAAAATCAGCTTTTGGGTTTGTCTTAAAAGGTGAAGGTGAAAATGTATGATCTCATAAATACATTCACAGCTGTATAATTTAGTCCATGTTTGAAGTAACCTATTCCACTTTTAAGTAGTGTGCCCTCATATTTATGTTGTATTTTACATACTATCAAGTCATTTATTCTTCCTTTAATGTATAAAATAGGTGGAAATTTTCAATCTAGAAAGAGATTTTTAGTAACAAAATATCTTTTATTAAATTTTCAATTTACTATAATGATTATTCTCTTAGGATTTAAAGAAACTTTTACAAATATCATTTGAGCTAAGATTTTGCTAAAAATTTTTGACAGTAGTTTTAACTTTAAGGGGATAAAGATGCTCTGTTACATACATTCTGGATTATAAAATGCAAAGAATATGACTTTCATGCTAAAATATTTGATAATCTCCACAGTCATTTTCTAAGAAACATTTAAATGCATAAAAGGGTTGTAAGATTATAAAAATACAAGAGTGAATACTTATATTCTAAGCTGAAATGAATAGGATATCACAGGATGGCTACATAATTACATTGAAATAATCTCCTGTTAATAGATCTGGTGAGAGCGTTGAGAGATGAAGAGAGAGAGAACTGTGATGTGCTGTGTATGCATATGTGTGCCAATTCCTTATGAAGAACGTGGTCATTATGTACTACAAATGCATACAGAAAAGAAAGGTCCAACAGACAGAGGGAGGGAGAGGAAGGAGGAGGAGAAGAAAAGGACTTTTAAAAAGAATGAAGATGTGTTATGTACATGTATCGACTCTCCATAATGAATGAAATAATTATGTATTGCAAATATGTACTAATAATACAATTAAAAAATAAATAAAATTTAAAAATGAATTATTAAGAGAAATAACTTGTATCTTAGTATAAATTTTCTAAGAATGTTTCATTCAACGACCTGTTTCAATTCTAGAAATAGTTCTTTGTGATAAGTTTAATAATTATCCTCTTCTAATAAATTAAACACTAGACAAGAAATTTAAAGTCTTTATTATAAGATTCTAATATTATAATTTAATGTAACTAGAGTAGACATATTTTATTAATGAAAGCCACAGTTGAAAAATAAATAAATGAAATAAAACAAGGATTGATTAGAAGATTTATATCCATATCAAGATTTGGATATTAGGTTAGCATCACAAATTTAATTTAAATGAAACTTTTCATTTTCCTCCCTGGCACCAATAAGCAACTAAGTTGATTGAACCTAACAACAAAAAATCATCTGTGGTAATTTTTAAAAACCATTCTCCACATCATTAAGCTATTAGAAGATTTTGTTAATTTTACCACCAAAATATATCCTACTCTTTACTTTTATTACTGATATCTCAATCGTAATGCTGTTTCCATCCACCTTGCTTTACTTTACAACATTTGAAATAGTCACCTGCCTCCTTCCTCTGTCCTACTTCTGATTATTTTAAAATGTATTCCTTGGGTGACATTTTTAAATGTACAAGAAATCATGCAATTTAGCTCTGTTGAAACAATCAAAATTAGAATGTGATCTGAATTTTCCACTTTGTCATAAAGATCCTTATAAATTATCACAAGACTGTATCCCTAAACACATCCTCTACTGTTTTGTTATTTTCTGTTTCTCTTTCTGCCTCCTTCTTTCCTTCACTTCCTCTTTTCCTCCCTCTCCCTATCTTTTCCTCATTCCTTGGCCACTGTTTTCTGCCTTTGTCTCCTTCTCTCCCTGTTATGTTTTAGATTTAAAATGTTCCCCCACGTTTTCATGTGTTTGGAAGGTAAGTGAATCCTGGTTACCCTATACTTATTATTGGATTCATCCACTGAAGAACTCGTGGCTGAATGTGCTGTTGGGAAGTAGAGCTTCTCCGAGGAGGCAGATCATTGAGAGTATGTACAGTGGTACCTCGGTTCATGAATTTAATTTGTTTCAGAATTTTCGAAAAGATGGCCATGTTTGCGTTTGTGTGGGAAAGATGGTCACAGTCATATTTGTTAACCAATGTAGTGTTTGCAAATAAAAACAAAATTTTGCCAAGTGCTTTTGTTCATGAACAACTTTTGTTTATAAACCAAGGTACTACTGTACTTGTCTCTGGCACCTCCTTATCTCTCAGTCCACACTCTAGCTGCCTTTCCTTGGGCAGATGTCCTCTGTCATCACCTTCTACTGTGCCATTTCTGCCTTGGAGCCAAACCACCACAGACTGAAGCTCTAAAACTGTGAGCTGAAAATAAAGCAAACCTTTCCTCCTTCAAGGTGCAGGTGTAGGGTATTTTGTCCAATGACAAGAAAGTGACTAATACAGAAAATTATTATGGAGAATGAAGTTGTTCATTCTCCTGCAACTGTAAGAATTCTTTGAATATTGCTTGTGGCAGGGCTTTATATGTGATACTGAGCAGAGATCAAAAGACCAAAATGCAATAGAAATTCAGACAGTAAGGGCCAGGCTCATGAAGTTTCAGACATGAATAGGATAAGAGCTAGAGCTCATGCTAGTTACATTCTGGCAAGAAATCTAACTATATTTTGTCCATGTCCTGATACTTTGCAGGCAATTGTCATTGAGGTTTGCACACTAATGAGTCTGTCATAACAAATTTCTAGGCAACCCACTATTCAAGCTGAGGCATAAGTAGTTCTGGCTTTCAAGAGAAAGGAGAAGAGCTAAATGATTTTGAAACTGCAGTTTCACCAGAAAGGAAGTGTTTACAAAGCTGGCCCCAGGAAAGCATGGTTATTGAAAAATATCAACATTAGAAAGAAGCCCATATTTTGTGCCAGGGCAATAAAAATGATGGCTTGAAAGCATCTCAGGAACTGGTCAGACCCCATCCATCACAGGGTCAAAGGTGAGTATAAACCTTTCCTTTGAGGAGAGCCTCTGGTATCCCAGTTTAAGAAGGGCTTCCTAGGGAATTGGTCTCTCTGGATTTGATTCAGAGTGTGCAGACACTTCTGAGCCCACCCCAGACATAGTCCAAGAGCATGAGGGTCCTGACCAAGCTGCCTTCCAAATTAGACAGCATTCCTATGGTGCTGGTTTTTCACATATGCAAAATATTAGAGTTGAGTCAATTTTTATTTGTGTCCTCTATTTCTATTTTTCAGTCCTGAAATAATAGATTTTTAAAAAGATTCCCATGTTGCATTCTATTTAAGAAGGTGTGTATACATGTTTATGTATAATCCATAGATATTTACAATTTAACAGTAGCATTGTGGTTTATGCCTAAATTGAATTTCCAGAGTTCAATCATGAGAGATATGGGGATAAGTATCATTTGGTTAGTATTTATTTTATTAAAATTTCTTTATGTATTTATATATTTACTTACTTATTGAAGTATAGGAGATTGAGTCCAATGTTCCATTCATGCTTGATAAGCATTCTAAAACTGAGCTACTTCTTCAACACTTTTTATTTCATTTTGAGACAGGGTCCTGTGAAATTGCCCAGTCTGGCTTTAAACTCTTGATCCTCCTGCCTTGGTCACACTTCTAATTAGTTGGGATTATAGGTGTGTGACACTGCCCCTTGCTACATATTGTATTTTTATAAAAATGAGAAAATATAAAGTAATCTTATTACAAATATTTATTTTATTATGGTCAAAATAGGCATTATTATTTTGCTTTTATTTAAATGGATTTTTTCTGTATGCCCTATTATACATAAAAATTTTCAACATGTTCTGTATGCCCAATATATGTACAACTATTCAATACTGACATTTAAGTCACATACATTATGTAGATAAATTTACCAAAATTCCTGTACATCTATTTTTATTTAGATTTGTGTTCTACATACATATGCACATAGCCATTCTTATTTAATATAATATTAAGACATTTTCCAATGACTTTTGCTTTTGGATGATACGTCATGCCTCTCTATATAGTCTACAATACAGTGTCTATTTTGTTATCATGTACCTAAGGAGGAGCCACAAACCTCTCCAGTCATGATCACAATTATTACTCTTAATGTCTGTGGTACCCTCAGCATGTGGGCACTTAGATGATACAACAGCCTAAACCAGTTCACTCTGTGCTCCAAAGCTGTGAGCTAAACCTGTGGCTTTTCCCCTGCAGGTGTACACACACTCACCCCACTAAGTGGAGTAGGCCTACATTCTCCAGTTCATCTGTGTGTGTGCTGGGCGCCAACCCAAGTTCTCAGTCATGTTTGCGTACTCTCTACCACTGAACTACAAACCCAGACCACAATATTTTGTAAAATGTTGCTGACTTCTCAGATTCATCTTTTTATATCTCTTTTAACTTTAATAGAATGAGATAAAATAAATGCATTCTTGCCTTTCATGTTATATTCTGTTTTGCCTGCAAGACCTTGTGAGTTCCTTTTTACTATCGGTTTCCCTCTCCATTTGACATCCTCTACTGTACATTTTCCAAAAATTTTACACAATTAGATGCATTCTACTTCCTTGTTCTAGTGCGTCTTTGGGAGTTTTCAAGTTTACATATTCCTTCTTACTTTCAAATGAAAAGTTGACTTAGAAATATATGCTTTTAACCAGCTACTCTGAACCAAAAGTTTCCAAAGCCTATGAAAATCATATTTACTCCATGATGATCTGACTCCTTCCTTTGGCTTGCAGTGCCTGATACAACATCCTCAGCTCCTCCTTGGTATCTGTGCCAGCCTCACC